TATAAGGTACACTAAGTGTTAATAAAATTGATATAAGAATAACTATTCGAAAAACCATTTTTAATTCTCTTTGTGCACGTAATAATGTATTTCCAAATGTAACACGTTTATTCATTTCTCTAACATATAGAATTAATTTGAAATAAATAAATATTATACCATTAACTGGTATTAAATAAATATAAATTATATTATAAATTGTTACAATCGAAAAATGAAATGGCATTTGACATACTTGATTATCAACAAGATATTTTATTTCACCAGTAGCTATACCTGGACATGCACCAATAAAACCAAATATCCATATTAATACAATGAGAAAAAATTGAAATTTCCTTGACTGCCAAAACAAACGAGTTGGATAAATAACTGTTATATAACTATATATTGCTTGTAAAAAATAAGAATAAAATAACCAAAAGAACGTTACATAAGTCATATAACCTTGAAAAATACAAAATGAATCTTGATAATAAATTTGTTGGCGATCATTTTGGAGAGTAATAATTGTCATCCAAAATAAAATAACCGTTAATGAAAAATTAGCAAAACATGAAGACGTAACTAGCATAATAGGAACTGTGTGACATGTTTTGTCGGTTAAAACAATAAAGAAAAATAATAAAGACATTAGAATAGCTAGGAAAAGACATATAAGTAACAAAATATCGAGAGGAATAAACCATGATTGATTAATTATGATTGAAGTATTAGAATCTTTTAACAGAGAAACTGGCAAAATTGTTGTATTCATTTTTGAAATGATGAAAAAAAATATATAAAATGAGGAACTATCGGTGTGGAAGATTATTTCTCTAATGAATGGCATTAATCATGACAAATAACTGAGAAAGTAGTTGTGCTCATCTATGAAATGATGAAAAAAAAATATATATATATATAAAATAAGGAACTATCGGTGCGAAAGATTATTAATGCGATGTGAAGCAAAACATTTCTCTAGTTCTTCGCAAGTTTTCTTCCTTCCTTCCTTCCTTTCTTATTTTCTCGATGTATTTATTCAAAGTTGTCATTTTGTGTACACGTTTTCCGATTTTGAACAGGAGTTTTCGTTTGTTTACAGAAAGTGTCACAAAAAATAATTTTGATCTTTTTAAATCTCAAGATAATTAAAACGAAAAGCAAAAGCTAGGCGTCATCGCTTTCTAACAAATATTTTACAGTTGAAAGTACAGCTGATGACAAATAATGAATCATCAGTGTCCTTTCAACATATGATAGTTTGAATTCTCGATTTCGATAATGTAAATTTGACTTTATTCTACTATATTCGTGAATGTACAGAGTTTTATGAAAACCTCAAAGTCATTATTTCAAAATCGAGTGTTTTTTAATAAATAGCATTAATCGTGACAATTAACTGTAAAATTTTATATAGTAGCGTTAGTTTTTTTTTCAAATAACAATATATTATAGTTGGAAGACTATACATAATGATGAATCGAATTTTTTGTTGCTGGATAATTTAAATCTAATATTATCTACAAGTGAAAACTACTTTTATCATATATTTATAGAATATTGCGTATTATTAAAGGCGGATGTGAGATGAATAGAGTATTCACATTTATCTTGATTAATTCATTGCTGTTCGTCACGCTATAAAGATATAAATATATTGATTTCAAGTAAAATTGTTGAATCTGATATATACTATCTTATTGCATAACATGCTTCCACTTTCAAAGAAAATTAAAAAATAGAAATTCACTTCCTTTGTCTTGTCTTGAAAAAATATTAATTAAACATTTCTTTAGCAATTTTAGCACATATTTGAAATTCCTTTGTGAACTGAACATAATTTGTAAAATAAAATAGGCAGTGTGGCCGAGTGGTCTAAGGCGCTGGTTTTAGGCACCAGTCGTAACTGGCGTGGGTTCGAATCCCACCACTGTCATTATAAAATGAAGCAAAACGGTTTGCTTCGCTTTTTTTTCGATGTGTGATTCGAGCAGTAAAGCTATTTTGAGACATTCACAAATGAAAAATTATAAAAAAAAAAGAAATTTTGATAGAAAAAATAGTTTTCAGACATTTATTATTCCTCATTTTTAGTAAATGTCCACCTACAGAAAAGTTTTTTTTAGTGAAATTGTTGAAAACCACGTTGGATGTAGATGTATCTCTTAGACCATTTGAGTAATTTCATATATTGTAATCCATATCCACACCCACACCCTCATATGTTATGTTTCATTCTCTATGTACTGACATCAGCAACCTGCACTAAAGAACTCTATTAGACAACCATTGGAAGAAATTTTAAGTGAAAACAGCAAGTTCTAGTTGTCACTTGACATGCCCCGAAGTTTTTTTTTAATATTAAAAACATGAGCAAAAGATGATAAAACCTGACTTAAATGTTTCTTTGTTTTGTAACACAAGTGGTTGTTCTTTTGCTCGATCTAATATAGAAATATAAATCTAATGACAAAACAAAAAACTCAAGATAAGTATTTTTAACATTTTCGACAAGCTAAAACAGGCATGTTCATATCTTAAACAGGTCGCTTGTTCATCATTTAACTATTTCTTAATTGAAGTAATGATGAGAGTAGTTTTTTTAATTGAGAAAAAAAAAATGATTATAGAGTTTAGTATTTTTTTTTTAAGACAACAGTTAACAATTAAAAATTTTTATTTTATGGTTCGTATACAAATGAATTATAGTAGTATGGAACCAATAAACGATAGTAAAGTCATTCTTTATCGTGCTAAATTTTTAATATTACTTCTCCTACAAATCCCATCGTTGATGATCTATCTTCTTATTTTTACATTTTTTGTTATACATCGTTCTCTTCTGAAAAATTCGAGAAATAAAGCTCTGTTACTGTTGCTTATAGTCAACTTCTTGGAAGCATCATGCGACTTACCAATGACTATCAATTTCTATCAACTTGGTCGTGTTAATCCAGTAACAGCAGCCTATTGCACATGGTGGACATTCTTCGAGTATACTCTCAGTGTTTCAAGTGAGTTCTTAATGGCTACTATTTCCATTCAACGTCATCTATTCGTATTCAATAAGAACATACTACGTATTCGAATAAAACGTTTTCTATTACATGACTTGCCGCTACTACTTTGCGTTATTTATCCAAGTCTTCTCTACTTGAGTCTTGTTGTTATCTATCCATGTAATGGAACTCAATGGGATTTTAAATCAGTTTTATGCGGTTTAAACAATTGTTATCTAGAAAACAGCAGTTTGTTGGCAGCGTTCGATTGGGCAATAGACAATGGTATGCCGATAATAATAATTATCGTCGCTAATGTAACACTCGTAACGCGAGTCGTCTGTCAAAAGCGTCGTCTACAGCAACCTATTCCATGGCGCAAACAGAGGCGTATGACAATTCAATTACTAATGATCTCCTGCTTATATATCATTGCATGGCTTCCAAATACGATCATTGCCGTCATTCAAGAAATCAAGAGTTCGAATTTCCTCGCTGAAATTCAATCAAACTATATTTTCGATCTTCTCTATCTCGTTTGTCTCTTGATGCCATGGGTATGTATCAAAATGCTTCCTGAATTTAAAAAATGGATATGGAAACTATTCAGAACACAACAACTAGCACGTCATGTAGTTGCACCACTACACATCACTACTTTATCAATGAGGAAGTGATATTTTGAAACTGAACTAAACATATATATATGAATACAGGAATTTTATGCGTCCAGTATAATAAAAGAAACTGTAAAGGTCTTCGTGACAAAATATATTAGCTAGCATTATATCGAAATGTTTATTTTGATACGCATTTCATCAATATGAAATATTTCATTGCCTCATGATAGAATAAGCTTTTTTAATTTGTAAAAATATTTAATAATAAACTTTTTCTTTTCATTTTCTACAAAATTTAACGATATCTATTGAATTCATTTTCATTAATTGACGTACGTCGATAATGACTCTAATTCTACAAAGGCATATTGGTAACAGAATTTAATTTACACATCTTAAATTTTATTTGAAATAAGTGAAAATAAGGTGTAAATATATTTTAACACAAGATTTTAATTCACGCCTTCAACAAAGAGAAACTATAAATTATTTGATAAAATACTATGAGAATGTAAACAAATTAAAATCTAGTATATTGAAGTACGAAGGGACCTTTTGGAGAAATTAATACTAAGTTGAATTAAACAATGAGTAGAGAAGGACCACTTAGTATTAGTGGCACAATCAAATTTCTATTGAAAATGATAGCAACCTAACTTTATGATAGGAAAATGATCGTAGTACTTGAAAAAAAATTGTCAGAAATCTTTCATATGAATATTAGATTGTCTCAAAATAATGAAAATAGTTGATGAATGTATCAAATTTAGAATAAAATTAGAAATGAATGGCCAACAACTAATGTTAGTGAAGAAGTGAAACGAACAGCTGATGTATGTTGAAGAAATCTCTTGGAAAAACTCAGATGAATAAAAGCGAGACAATCGTTGTCTGCAAACACAATCAGACAATGTTTTTTCGCGTACACATTTTCGTTCTTTCGATTATTATCAAACATTTTAGCACATAATTTCTACATTATAATTAATGAACATATACTAGACCCTAATGTAAAATATATTTATATAATCTGTTAAAAGAAAAGAGCAAATAACGCCTACAGATTTCCTCCATGCTTGTCTTTTTCTTTTTTTTTATCGACTTCAATTATATCTATAAAAGTCAAGTTAGCACTCAATACAACCACGGCAATAGAAGTGATAAAAAAAATTTTTTTGTTTCCATTTAAATTGTTGATTAATATTTAAATACCGTGCAAACACTCTCGAGTGTCACATTAGAGTGTGAAAAAAAAGAAATATTCTGCTTCAATTTTAGTTGCATTTCATTTTATTAATCTGAATTTCTATTCATAATGGGTTATATAAGACTTTGTCAAATACTTATGTTACTTATTATTATCCAATCAAGCACAGAAGATATACGCTCATTTATAATGTTAAAGATTACTGGCAGTAAATTTAATTGCACTACTACAACATGTTTACCATTCATTACCAGTATTGTATTAAATATTCGCAATTGTCGAATAGCTTGTTTAGCTCAAACTCAATGTGATGCGGTCAGTTTTCATCAATCCACGTCGATGTGTGAATTGTTTGCAGACGTATCGAATCAAACCGAAAACATGCTACCTAATATGGATATTATTACTATGATTGTCGAGAGTAACACACGAATACCACAAGGTCAGTTCATATAGAATAAATCTATCCACACAAAAGATTATCTGAAGTATAGTATAGAGTAGAATGCATCTATCTAAGAAAATAAAAATCTAAACCAAACAGTACGCCTTCTAAATATATGTTTTTGTGCAATAAACTATACATTATCATTTAGGATTCATTTATGAATTTTATTTCAGAATAGGGTATAAATAGATCTTCGACATAAGTATTTTCATTGTTTCTTAGAAATAACAAATCTATGTAATATTATATTTATCATTCATCCATGAGAGCAGCAAATACTTTTATTGATAAAGATATTCAGAAGAAACACAAATTGGTTACGATCTAAGATAGAATTTTCTTCATTTCGTTATTACATTTTAGTTTCTGGACCTGGAATAACAACAATACAGCCAAGTACTGCAGCAATGTCGACTATCAGTGCTTGTCTTAACATGACAATACCAGTAGGACAAGGTATAAAGAGTATCTATTCACTTACAAATTTTACTGTTTTTTTATCTTAGCTCCAAGTATCGGATGGGATTTTGAAGGAAATTTAAATGATCGTTTTCTCATATATAACGGTACAAATGGAAATAAATCAATATATACATCAGGGAGATATAGTTGTAGGAGATGTCTAAATCTATCAAGTTCGTTGAATCAATCGGTTTACATTTATGGTACACCCTATATCGATTTGCGTAATATTTCGTTCTCAGTAGAAACTTGGATTAAACCAACGATTGTTACTGATGGTATTGAACATGTCATTCTTGCTCAATGTGGAACACTAGGCTCATATCAATGTATGCGTGTCTCGATCGGTAGTCCAGGTCCTATGACCTTTCGATTTCGTAGTGATACGCAAACAGGTTTACAAAATGTATCGATCAATGTTTGGTCACATTTAGCTTACGTTTATAATAAGACAGCAGGAACGATGGCACTCTACCTGAATGGAACTCTTGATAAGTCAGGTATTGGTCATGGACCTTATACGGGACCACCCACTTTTTTTCAAATTGGAAATATTGATTCCATTGGTGGTATATACTACGATGGATGTATCGATGACATATTTTTTTATCCTTTTGCTCGGACTGCTAGTGACACAGCAGCTACTTTTGCATTGGGATAGAGAGTGAATGTGGATGTGAATAAAATACTATTTAATGATAATAAATCATCCCGGAGGATTATAGGAAATAAAGTATTTGTTAATGTCATATCTTGAATTTATTAAAGATGCAATCAATATGTAAAGAGTTGAAAAAGAAAAATTTAATTGTCATACTGAAATATACTCATGGAAAAATTTATTCATAAGGAAAAGCCAAAAAAAATGTTTATTGTTTATTTATTTTTTATGTTTGGCATAGCTTTCAGCTATTTAAATAACAATTGAAGAAACTATTGATCTACTTTTACTTGGACTCTATATTCAATCCAGTTAACAAAAAATATTCGTCTCTGTTGTATTAATCTATGGATTCTTATGCTTAAATCATCATATCAATGTCGAATGTACTACGAGAGGCGACATCTAATTTTTATAAAACGATCAGAAGATAAAAATATGATAGAAATACTCTAAAGTTAATTCTCTTTCAAACTGCGTTTTTTTCTTTAACAAAAAATCCAGTTACATACAGTTAATTTAATATAAATATGATTTCAAAATAATCAATTTTCATAGTTTTCATCTATACTTCGAAAGTTTTCTTTTTTTATTATAAATATGAATACTTCAAAATTAATCTTATCAAAGTGCATTAGTAGATTTTTCGTTCGTCTCTGATTGGTTCAAACAAGTAATTTCATCACCATGAGAAATCTCTGACACATCACATATATAAACATATTTAAAATGAGAAAATGAAAGTAACAACTCACTTCATTCTGTAGACACAAAACAGCACACAAGGTCATTTCAATAATTTTAATTAATGTCGAATAAAATAACTCCTACTTTTCTCACATTACCGGTAGAGCTAGTCTACCGAATTCTCGATCATCAGAGTGATATTATGATATTGTGCTCAATGCGAAATGTATGTCAACGGTTCAATACAATCGTCGACAGTTACCATCGCTATCAGGTAAACCGTTTTTAATCATGATTGTCTATCATTCTTCTATTTTCGAATTATTTCTCATTCTTCCAATGTATAGATCTGAAAAAATGAATGAATAAAATAATGACGAGACATTAATTCATATACAGTAGCATAGCAATGTGAAAGAAATAAGAAAACATACATAAGAACAAATTCATTGCTTTCATCTCTTTTTTTCTCAAGCACGTGCAATATTTAGAAGAGAAAGAAAGAACAAATTGCTTTTGCATGTATATCTAGACTATTGTTTACATATCTTTCGCATTGAAAACGACTTTTTGACAAAGACTGAATGCTTCACAGGAATTGTAAGTACAATACACCAGTCATCCTATATCTGATTGGTTTTTTAGTCAGAAAAAATGTAATATTATATTACAGACGACTACTTTTTTTCACTTCATATGAACACAGGTTATTGTTCGATTTAGTTAGCGGCAGAAGCCAGAATAAATAAATGTCATAACTCTTAAAGATTACACATTTAGATCTTAAATATTTACATAGCTGCGGGCAGCAGTACCACCATTCAGAAAATGGCTATTCAAGGAAAACTAAGGAAATTCAGCAAATGCGGATTGCATAATATGATCGGATTTTGATAGGACATGGATCCGATTCTATAGATACCGATCATCGAAATGGTCGACTTGGAGACGTAACAGATAACGTGAGTATAACAGCGAGGACGCAATAGCTTCAATAAGTATAGGTTTTTTCAGAGATCTTAATATTACTTGCTACTGTCTCTTGAATTCTTTCGATTTTATTGATTATTCAATTTCTGGATCATGCCTAAGTCTCACTACGAACATGTAGTCATAAAGAATAGGAATAATACCACCGTTTACTCGTAAATACTCCTTATAACTAAACATCTGAGTTGAACCTTGTTTGTTATTCTACTGAATCTAACATCCACAATGTCCTATCTCAGTTTCAAATAACAATACAGAACAATTCGTTAATATGTAACGTCGTACAAGTTTCTCCGATTTGACTCCGTTGATTGAATTTTACGGAACACTCAGGAAGAATAGATGAATATGTCGACCAATAACTCATTATAAACTTCATCTGCAATCACACGACTCAGTTTAACTATCACCACTAGATGTTTAAGAAAAAGAAAAAAAACCGCAGTCTTTTATTCTAATCCTTCTTCCAAAGATTTGACTACTATCTCATAAAATAATACGATGATCTCAAATCCCTCTTTGTCTATTTTATACAGACACTTACCACATTAGAACTAAGCAGCCATCAAATCGGAGATGCTGCAGCACAACATCTGGCCGATGTATTACGAAATAATAGGGTAATTGGTATTCTCCTGGTCATCTATCTCATTTATTCATCTCTATTTTTCTATACAGACACTTTTCACCTTAAATCTCGAATTAAATCAAATTGGAGATGTTGGAGCTCAGCATCTAGCAGATGCATTACGCAATAATGCAGTAATTATCATTCTCGTTCTTATCTATTTCATATATCCATCTACACTTTATCGTACAGACACTTACCGTATTAAATCTCGACAGTAACCACACTGGAGATATCGGTACACAGCATCTAGCAGGTGCATTACGAGATAATACGGTAACCATCAATCTCTTCCTCCGCCATTTCATATATCTGTCTGCACTTTTTCATATAGACACTTACCACATTAGATCTGTCCAGCAATCAAATCGGAGATGCAGGAGCACAACATCTAGCTGATGCGTTACAAAATAATAACGTAACTGGCATTATTTTCCTTAGGTATTTCATACATTTATCTACACATTTTCATTCAGATACTCACCACGTTAAATCTCCAATTAAATCGAATTGGAAATGTTGGTACACAGCATTTAGCTGATGCATTAAAAACTAATACGGTAACTGACATTCGCTTCCTTATCTATCGCATATACCTATGTACACTTCTTCATACAGACACTCACTGAATTGAATCTTAAGCACAATCAAATCGGAAGTGTTGGAGCACAGCATATAGCAGACGCATTACGAAAGAATAAGGTAACTGATATTCTCTTGCTCATCTATCTCATGTATTTATCCACCCTTTTTCATGCAGACACTCACTGAATTAAATCTTAATCACAATCGAATTAGAGTTGTTGGAGCCCAGCATCTAGGAGATGCATTACGAGACAATGCGGTAACTACCGTTCTCCTCCTCACCTAACTCATGTATCTATCTATACTTTTTGCGTACAGGCACTTACCACATTAAACCTCAAATGGACTGAAGTCGGAAATGTTGGAGCATACCAGCTAGCAGAGGGATTACGTAACAATAAGGTAACTGATATTTTTTTCCTTAGTTATTTCATGTATGTGTTTACAAATTTTCATACAGACACTTACCAGATTAAATCTCAGCAGCAACAAAATCAGCGCTGTTGGAGCCCGGTATATAGCAGATGGATTACGAAATAACAAGGTAATTGAGATTCGCTTCCCCATCTATCTCATATATCCATCTACATTTTTTCATACAGATACTTACCGAATTAAATCTTAACCAGAATCAGATCGGAGATGCTGGAGCACAGTATCTAGCAGGTGCATTACGAGACAATACGGTAATTATCATTCTCCTTCTCGTCTGTCTCATATATCTATCTACACGTTTTCATGCAGACACTAACTATATTAGATCTAGCCAGCAATCAAATTGGAGATGCTGGAGTACAACATCTGGCAGATGTATTACGGAATAATAAGGTAACTGATATTCTCTTCCTCGTCTACTTTATGTATTCATCTGCATTTCTTCATACAGACAGTTACCACGTTAGATCTCGGGAGAAATCGAATTGGAGCTATTGGTACACAACATCTAGCTGATGTGTTACAAAATAATACGGTAATTACCATTCGCTTTCTCATCTGTCTTATATCCATCTACACTTTCTCATGAAGACACTCATCACCTTATGTCTCTTCGACAATCAAATTGGAGATGTTGGAGCACAGCATCTAGTAGATCAATTACGAAATAATAAGGTAACCAACAATCTCTTCCTCATCTATCTCATGTATTCATCTACACTTTTTCATACAGATACTTACAGAATTAAATCTTAACCTCAATCAAATTGGAGTTGTTGGAGCCCAGCATCTAGCAGATGTATTACGAGACAATGCGGTAACTACCAGTCTCCTCCACTTCTATCTGATATATCTATCTGCACTTTTTGATACAGACACTTACGAAATTATGTCTTAACTTCAATCAAATCGGAGATGTTGGAGCACAGCATCTAGCAGATGCATTACGAAATAATAAGGTGATTGACATTCTCCACTTCATCTATGTCATATACCCATCTACAATTTTTTATACAGACACTTACCACATTATATCTCTACAACAGTGACATTGAAGCTGTTGGAGCCCAGCATCTCGCTAACGCATTACGAAATAATACGGTAAATATCATTCTCGCATTCATCTATGCCGTATATTCATCTGTTCTTTTATGCATAGACACTTACCGCATTAAATCTCAATAGCAGTCAAATAGGAGAGGAACTGAAGAGTCAAATCAATGAGCTTATTGAACAGAACAAAAGAGTGGCAAAATGCTAAATGTTGATATCGACGATCTGATGATCCGTGGAAGAAAATCAGTGATGAGCATGTGGACACGTTTCTTTGTCGGGTTTTGTTATTATGAAATATAAATAGAATTGTTGTATTTCATGAGGTTATATATTTCGAATCAGCATTATATTCTGAGTAAAATGAGAGCATTTTTTTATCTATCGTTTGAATCTGGACTATTTTGTTGTTGAAATAATATTTTTCACTAAAATGAACAGTTTATCTTCTGTACATTTACTTTGCATTCGGTCTCATTAGAAAACTTCATTTAAGATCGGACAATCAATAAAATAACTGATTTGGGACTATCCGTTTTCGTCTTCGTCTTTTTTTTACGCACATCGAACAGAGAAATCCATTCCGAATCTTTATTTCTTTGAAGAAGATCGGAGGGTGTGGGGTTGGTGTTTGTTCCATATTTCATACTCATACCCTCACTATTGTGATTGTTCTCCCTGAGTTAGATGTTTATTACGTTAAAAGAAGATAGAGATAGATCTTGCAATGAGAATATGCATTATCCTATTAGATGAGAGTAGAGAACAGAGGTTGAATTGAAAGTAGATACTTATATAGTCTGAAGAAAAATTCGAAACGCATCGCTTCCAATTTATTGTCAAGTTCATCATTTATTATATTTAAAATTAAATTAAAATAAATAAATTCAAAAAAATCTTTATTTATTCTATTCATTATTTTTATTCATTTCAATCCAAATATTCGTTTTCATTGTCTTATTAACTTGCTTCTTCTCTATTTCAGTTCAACTCATTTATTTCTCCTACTATTTACCTAGTGGTTTACTCATTCATTTGAATGTTCATTTAATTCTTCATCTATTCATTTATCTTTTGTGTTAGTCATTTGTTTCAGTCGATTTATCGATGAGTCATCGCATATCGATTGTAAAGAACGAAAAAGATACATAGATACTTAGTTGCAATCGAAGCAAATGGAGGATGGTAGTATCGATCACATCAATCATTTATATGATACATTGTTAGGGCTCTAGGACAGAATGTCGCAAGACAAATGGTCGCGGACAAATGGTCGCAGACAAAATGTCGCATGGACAAATCGTCGCAGGACAAAATGTCGCAGGACAAATGGTCGCGGACATATCGCCGCGGACAAAATGTCGCAGACAAAACGTCGCAAAAAATTCGTCGCACGGACATAATGTCGCATGGACAAAATGTCGCATGGACAAAATGTCGCACGGACATAATGTCGCATGGACAAAATGTCGCATGGACAAAATGTCGCACGGACATAATGTCGCATGGACAAAATGTCGCAATAATAAAA